GTTTATATTTTTCCCATAATTAATCTATTATTATTAATAATACCAACTTTATTGATGTTATTATTGTAGTGCCAGTTGAATTCTTATAAACACTTCTGATTTACTTAGCTAGCCATGATCAATAGTACTAAAGTCAACTATATCTTCACAAGAATTTGGAAAATTTATAGTCCAAAAGTTTCTTTTGGTGCATGCCTCATTGCTATTATTGTGTGAATTGTGAACAATATTTTGTATACATACACTCTGTAAACTTTCTCCAAAACCATCATTTATCTTCCATTTGAAAAATGATGCATAAATTTAGATAGCAATTTTAATTTCACAACTTGCAATAAATGGGAGAAAGTGAGAGGAATAATTGCCATTAATTAGCTATATTTACCTATCTATTAAGGCCTCTGTTTTAATAGTCTATAGCTAGATTTCATCACATTTAACTTATTTTGTAGGATTTTTGTTTGTTTAAACATTGGCATTGATCTTCAGATTTGGATTTAATTTTGTTTTCTTGATATGAACCGATTTACTCTGGGTGATGAATATACGATCGACATTAGCCCTGCCTAACAACAACCTTATCGAAGAAAGTAAAATTCATACATCTAACTTGTGCAACACTTTGCACTTTATTTCACATGAGTAAATCTAAATTTTAAACAAAGAATGCTGACTTTTTAGTTCATCTATGAACTTTTATGATTTGCATATTTGGGCATTTGACCTTTAAGTTCCTATGAGATTACCTATATTCGAACAATGCATACTCATATTCAGACCAAGTTTGAAAATTTAAGGATGGCTTCTGATTGAGAAGATTCTCCTGAGATTTGCAGTTGTTTAACAAATTATTCCTTGTAGAATTGTGTAGTAGATGCAATATTTGAAATAAAACCACATGCTTGATGTGTAGATGTAAGTTTGAAACATAACTCGGTTTGTCTATGTTTTTTTTAATTATTATTATTATTATTATTATTTTATTTATATATATTAAGAATTAACTAAACCTTTGTAAGAAAACTGGCTTTTTACCGAATTTAAACGGTTTCATTTTTCGCGAGTGGAAGACTTAGAAAATTGTCAAAACCATTTTAGAGAGAATAAAAAATTAATTCTAAGTTGTATGTGTGGGTGAGAAGTGTAAGGTTGAAGCAATTGAGTTTAAGTAACTTAAATTATTGGATTTGCAAAACATTGTGTCTCTGATGAATTTTAGGATAATCTAAATGAGACCCGATCATGCATCTTGCATGTTATAACTCTAAAAGGGTTCGTTGGGGACGATTAGTAAAAAAAAGAGAACTCAATTCCGAGTTCGGATGAACTCGTACGAGCCAACGGCACACGGAGCTGGCACGGCCAGCGAAATGTCGCAACCCTTGGTAACCACAAGGTGTCTTTTGGCCTCTAGATGTATCCGTTCTTGTTCGGGTTCATAAAGCATATTGTGATAGTTCCAAACAATAGTATTGTTCGTCGAAAATTTGTATATTTGAAGTATCACTATATACAAATTAAAAATTGTTGTATCTTGGAGGCGTTTGTTGTTAACGATGAGTATTTTACGGGACAATTTCGTCTTAAGGAGGACGTAACTGTTACGTACCTCAACTTTGATTTTGTTTCTTCGGTGAAAGAAAGGTGCCATAAATTCATTAATAGCAGGGGAAGCTGCCGTTTTGACTACTTGTTTTCTTCATTCTCCTTAAATCATTTCTTCTTAAGTCATCTTCTTGATATTGGTAAAACACACAAACTACAACCTCAAAGGTTGCATTTGCTATCTGTCCCCTCTAGTTGGCTTAGCTTCATTTAGCATAAAATGAAAATTTCTAATGCATAAGAATTTCTCACATATTAATGAATTGCTCATGTTGTGTGGAGTTAAACCTAGTATGAGGTAAAATATACAGAGTGCAGGGTCGCCGTGACATACATTACTTTTACGAGCATTTCAGAGTGATTCTGATAATTGCGCTCATATCAACTACATATATTTTTGCTCATTTTACTTAATTCATTAAGATATGATGAAGGAAGTAAAATGATTGCACTCAAATAGCTAGAACATGAAACAATTGTGTTGTGTTTATAGTGAAAAATGCCAAAACTTCTAGTTACATTTTACTTGATGATTGATGCCCATTCCAGAGGCCTATCCTTCGACTAGGCAACCCGATATCCATAAACACGAACCATCATTTTGTTAATCACGTGCAAAACTACAACAAATGACTTGTAATAAACCAAACTCGTCGATCTTCTGAGTTCTTGATAAATCAATCTCTTAAGATAGATATATCTCCTATCCCAAGACTTGCAGCAAAACGACTCAATCCCGGTTAACTCCAACAATCCTACACTCGGACTCTATTGACTCGACGAACATCGGATAAATCAAATTCTTATCCATGACGGATAAAGAATTCATCCAGACTGATCTTCTCATAGGCCCGTCTACATCAGCTTTGGGCCCGTTAAGAGCCTCCGATACCATCTCATCCCCACTCACAATAATCCCAATCTCCAACTCCGAAGACTCACTTTC